GATTTCAAGAAGGGATACAAACTGGATAGATAACAAGCCGATACCCCAAACACCCTTCACCACAACTTTAAATGATTACATTAATTGCCCATCTTATGGACACAAATGCTGAACCTCTTAAGGCAGGAAATGATTGGGAAAATGTGTGGATTTATAACAATTGGCCAACAGTTGCTGGAGTAATGGAATTAATCAGGGGCACATTTAGAACAAGGCAAGAAACTCAACAAGGCATTATGATACCAACTATATGATTCCAAGGACAAAGTTGCAAAAGGAACAACATAAAACATTAACTATCATATAGTCGAATTCTTAATTCAAAACATCATGTAACTGAGATTGCCTGTGTTTTGCTATTTATGTTTTAACACAATGTTAAGGGGGAGGCTAAGTTAATTAGTCCTCTAGCTGGGTTAAAAGAACAACAAATACTGACAAAAAAATGTGTCCAATTCATGCATGACTGGTCGTGCACACGAACACCCACGCCACCACAACGCACTGCCACAGTAACAGAATACAGTTGAGTCATTTACTGTGACTGATGGTAGAAAAACAGCAGAAACCACTGCTTTGGTTCAGTCTTGGATGTGTTGTTTCCCACAATGCAATGCGGCCCTTTCACTGCGACTGGACCAGTCGGATACCGTGGAACATTCAAAGATTGAATAGCAGGATTTGGTTGCCTAGTAACCTTGGCAGGAGCCAGTGATGATCTGGTAATTTTCAAAGTGCTTTTGTGTTATCTCGGTTTCTGACACCATTTCTGCCTGTAGAAGTTAAAACAAAAAATAGTCGAAGATTTTATAAAAATGTGGACTACAGTGATGAGCCAGTGGTTACTTACCATGAAGGCGTAAAGGTGGTTATTGTCTAATCTGTTCAAAATGACCCATGTACAATAAGAGCTTAATCATGATGTTATGTATAATATAATTCTTCTTCTTCGTTGAATGTGCATAAATGTCATACAGAGGTCGAGACAAAAGGTAACATACCTACACTTCTGTTAGCCCCTAAGGGTTTTAATGCATTACACACATTTACTGAGCCTTAGGTGAAGGAGTTGCTCAGCATTCTAATTCAAATTGGTACTTAGATGAAGGACAATCAGTGTGTACTTTTCTTAATTCAAAATGCAAATAGAACAAAGCTGTACAAATGTGAGACGCCTATTAAATACAAGTGGAAAAAAAAAATCGAGACAGCCATCTCAATCTGCAAGTTAGGAGGTCAAGCACAGGTGATTCAAACAAACATTAGAGAAGAGTGGGATGGCTAAACAAAATTATGTTCAAGAGGCTAACGGGCACCATGGTTAGCGTCAAGGGGAAGCTCTTCAGTATTTATTGAAATCCCCTTTACACACCTTACTGTGGTGGTATTTTATTAACAGGTGACAAAAAGGAAAAGGCATGTTCTTTTCTCCAATAAAAATGTAATTACTTTCACAAATGAGAAAATATTTTAAAGACATAGTTTAAACTATTCTAATCTGAACTTAATCTACTAAATAAATAGTTAATAAGGGCATGTTATAATTTGACTGAAACTGAGAAGTCTATGATCTTTATTCTACCCAATGTTTAGTAGTCTCCCACCTCAATTTCCTGACATATTTTGCCCTTTGATAACAATGAATTGCCCCTGAACAGCGTGAGCCTCCCTGGCTGTGTACAGGCTACAGAGAAAGAAATCAGTTCAGCATCTTACAGTGCAACATGATGCTCAGAAAGCTTTCCACACACTGGCCTGAGCTGCCAAGCGAGTTAAATATATATAGCTTAAAAAACATCTAACCTTGTCCATTGGTTCCTCTTCCAGCCTTTAGCAGTGCACCAAGACGTCAGGGTCAATATTGACAGCAACTCAACAGATTTATTACTGAGCATGCACTGAATCCTAAAGATACATGTATACTCAGAGAGACAGTAATTGCTTCAGTATCAGATTTAAAAGGGTCTTAATGGGTTTAACAACACAGGCCTATCATTTTATTGTCACCAATAAGTAGGCTTAGATACATGTGCATTATGCTACTGCACTGCCATAAAAAAGGCATTATAAAAATGGAACACACAATCTGACAAATCACTTGATAGGAGGATAAGAAAAAGTGTGCAGGCAGTTATATGTGATACACACCTAATGAATATCATATACACATTTGAAAGACTAATAGATTTTAAAAAGGTGATACTCATGTTGTATTAAGATGCATGTATCCATTATGAGAAAGTGAGAGACCTCACTTTTCAGCTGGTACATTTTCAAAAAGTAAGATATAAAAAAACACAATAGCCACAGAGAGTAAGAAATACATGCACTGAAACACACTGAACTTTAACTTAACATTTGGAAATCCTGTTTGATATCATTTGTCAGACTGCAGCACAGTTTACAATGAATGCCCCACAAGAGAGAACCATTTAGTTGATCTCTGGTGTGTTTGAAAGGACAATGTGTTATTAGAGCATGACATAAAAAAGGAGTGACATGGAAAATCTTCAAAGACTAGAGTGATGTGACACAGTAGTCTGAAACTATCTGGTTTTAGTGCTGGAAAATAAAATGACATTTATAATGGATTTATTTACGTTCAGAAGCAGATGCCGAGCTTTCCTTTCCCCACATTTGAAAATCTGTGACAGGGTCTGGACTGGGTCTTGGGTGAGTTAATTGACTAAGACACTACATATTTTCTTAAATAGGCAACTTAAAAAAACATTTCTCATGGCGTCACACCAATTAAAAGGCTTTTTATACTGTGTCCATGTTTAGAAATTAATCCAAACAATTATTTCTAAAATCATGAGACATTGCAGAAGCTGTTTGTGTTCATAACTGTTCTGATTCCTCTGAAGTACGGCAGGTGCATCCTGGAAGCTTGCGATATGGGGAAATGTAAATCTTGCTTTTAACTTGTCATGTCCTCTCCCTCTCTTGACTATAATTCCTGCCACTCTATATGAGAGTAGTAATGCCACAAAAACAATCTTGAAAACGCACCTGGATAGTGAAAAAAACAAACACTTATGTGTCTCAGTCAAATTAAAAGCAGCCTGTGTCGTCTCTAAACCCAATAAGAATTGTTTCATCCTATTACCTCTGCAAAAATACCCTGAGCAGTTGATTCTGTGTGCACAATGGTTCGAGCAGACAGTTCACTGTTGAATCTACCCGATTAAGCTTGCATCTCATAAAGCACTTTTGTAAGCCTTAGTATTCATGCCACTACCTTATACGTCACAACTCCAGCAGACGTCACATAGACACATTTGTGGCATTGATGCTGTCAGAGTGACTAGCTTTTCAATCCAATTTAGAAGAAAATGTAGCAATTTATTTTTTACCCTGGCACTAGTTTGCATTCATTTATGATATGCATCATTGGCAACATGGCCCTGTCATCTGGGTTAAACATGACGCAAAACACTGTTATGAACCTCAAGGAATGCATGTGCCATTTACAGCTTTAAACCAAATTTGAGTGGTAATTCGAAAATATAGTCTCATTGTGAGAAAATATACTTTTGCCATTTAGTCAGAGACATTTATATTCAACAGAAGACTATATCTCACGTCCAGCAACCGTGGAATAATTGAAAATGTGCTTTGTGAAACGCAATTAGATTTACGAGTGACCCTTCGCTACCCATTTATTTTCAGAAGGCGCCTTTGTTTTATGGTTTTCACACACAGTTTTTCTCCCTGCTGCTCACTAAATCAAGCTGTGTCTATATGGGAGGTGTGAAGCTGCTTCTGTGTTGGAGGGGCTGAGAGACACACACACACACACACACACACACACACACACACACACACACACACACACACACACACACACACACACACACACACACACACACACACACACACACACACACACACACACACACACACACACACACACACACACACACACACACACACACACACACACACACACACACACACACACACACACACACACACACACACACACACACACACACACACACACACACACACACACACACACACACACACACAAGTGGGTACCCAGACGGATAGAATGACAGTAGGTATAACACAGATATCCCAGAGAAAGCAGGACATCCTCACTTGGTTTTTGGCCGTACTGGTTGAGGAAAACATTTTTTGTAAAGTACTTCAAACTTTGAGTCTATTTATAATATATGCTATCTAAAAATGATATTCAGAGGAATATAAACCATTCCCAATTCAAGGTAAAATTTCAATTCATGATTATAAAACACATGGCCTTAAACCAGTAAAATGCCTGTTTCACATTTCCGCTCCCATCCTTGAAAAATAGATTTTTTATTTGTATCTACTTCATCCTTTGAGGGATGGCATCTAGTATATGATGACTATATTCTGTTGCTTAACTGCTATGGGTTCTATGTAAGACTATTAGCTTTGTGTGGTTGGGTTTTAAAAGTGAAACAGCGGTTTTATTTTATTGATTTCTTTATCGTACACACATTATAGTGGTCAAAATTATTCATACATTATTGTGATATCACCCTCTTACCCCCAAATTATCTAGTAGGAAGTGAGGAAATGTTTTACATCACTTTATCTAATGGGTATTATAAGGACAAAATCAATACCGTATTAAAGAATATCACAGTTGCGATTGTAGTTAGTTTCGACTCTAAACTAAGACTCTAAACTAACTAGACTCTAAACTAACTACAATCTCTAAACTTTAGAGATGAATTTGCATATTTTTCGTGCTCATTCCAGATGATTTTCAGGAGGTGCTTTAGTTTAAGAATGGCTTTAACTAAGGATTTTGAAATCATGCTGTATGAGGTATATGGAGATGCATATCTACTCCAGAGATTTTGAAATGAAAGTCTACATAATGCATGAAAGCTGTTCAAACCAAAGCTGAGATTGTGAATAGACTGATAGATATGTGACAGTTTACATGTTCCAGGCAGACATCAGGAGTGAAAGCAAGTCATTAGGTAGTTTGAAATTGATACCTCAACTATGGTGATTTTGGCTGCCTTGCACATTGGTTGATTGAAGTTCCTGGCCGTTTTCCTGAGGGGAAGGAGCAAGAAAGAGATGATTTAAAAAAACAATTAGAAGTAATAGAAAGAAAACAAAGAGATATAAGCAAGTAAACACAAGAATGTTCAGTGTAACATCCAAGAATTAATATTAAGTGTTAGTTTACTGGACGAGGTTGCCACCTTGTGGAGAAAGGCTGTACTACATCTTCTGATGAGGTTGGTGCAAATGACCTCATTGGTGCTTGACAAAGGGGCAAAACTACATTTTTGATTGTCTTATAAATAAACACAATATTATACAATATTCATGAACAGGTAATATGAGTGTATTTGAGTGTTATCTGACAGTGGGCAGCATCCATGAATATGGTTAAACTGGAACTAAAAGAGTATTATCAGTGATGTAACAGTTTCCTTAAATTGGTTAATAAATAAATACTACGATTTTATCAAACATTTAGAACAACTAAATAAAACCATTTAGCTAAAACAGCCAAAAATGTGCTGATCAGAATCATCCCCTGCAGTATATCCCTATGGTCAAAATTAGAATAATTTCCCATTGATATGGCCATTTTAGAAAAACATATTCAACCTTTCTTTAAATTACTGTTTGACTCTTACCACATGATATCAGCAGTGTGAGCAGATTGTTGTGCAAACATACCAGAGGTGATTAAGTCTTGTCTAATGTGCCTCGACCCAGGAGGCTGAATCCTTTCCTAAATAAATACGGCTATTGCCATAACACTACAGGTCTGTGCTGCTGGTGTGTGACCAGCACTATATTCCTGTCCAGTTCATCAGTTACCTGAAAATAATGTTTCCAGCCTTGTCAGCTTTCCATGCCTTGATCAGTGCAAAGTCTCCAGTGATGGCCTGCTCCATGATATAGTGCCTGCCATTGAACTCCCGCACCTGTACAATGACAACACAATTCAATAAGTGAGTGACGCTGGATGCAGGGGAGGATGAAGATTGTGTGTTTTTTAGCATTTACAGACAGACATTTGAGTCCAGACCTAGATTAGTCAATACTGCTGAGCTTTTGTCATCCACACAAGAAAATCAATAGTATAGCAAAGATTCAAGCATTATGCCATCAGTGAACATATGTATTTTTGTATCCTTAGAGAACCATAAATGTTTCTGTTATTATTAAAGTGCAGTATATTTGGGCATGCTACAATACTAAAATCAAACAAGACAAACAAGTTATGTTGAAATGTTCTTCACAATGCACGCCCCGCCCAGACATTACTTTGTGCTCTGAATGCAAATTAAAATTACAAACTTGAACTCATTGCAGTGGCCAGTTCTCAATTGTTTTAATTGTAATGTAAAGCCTTTACAGATGAATTGTTGGACTCATGCTCTTATGTATCCTCCTCTGTACAGAGAAGTTTGCTTTCTTTCTAGCAAGAACTACAATGCAAAAGATAATAATGGTAGGGTTATTATGAACATTATTCATGGCCATAGCTGCAGACTGCAGTTCTTAACTCCACCAAACAAGGCATAAGAAAGATAATGGACTTTTTGGCACAACTGCAACATCTCACCTCTCTCTTCTCACTGGCGATGGCAATGCTGCCATCTTTGTTGTACTTAATGGGAGAGCCTCCCTCCTGGATCAGTGTGCCATATCCAGTGGCTGTGAAAAAGGCAGGAACCCCGGCACCCCCAGCCCTGATCCTCTCTGCAAGAGTTCCCTGTCAGGAAAAGAGAAACATATTAATATCTTGTAGGAAAATTCATGTATTGTTGTATATATTTCCACATGTGTTCTGACCAACCTGTGGCGTTAGTTCCACTTCTAACTCTCCTGTCAGATACTGTCGTTCAAACTCAGCATTCTCCCCGACGTATGAAGAGATCATCCGCTTGATCTGCTTAGTCTTCAGCAGCAGGCCCAGGCCGAAGTTATCCACTCTGAAGAAAACATACACAAAGCATCATGAACCGTTAAATGGGTAGGATAAGGTGCAGCATATTAAATATATATATATCTCAAGACAATCTTCAATATTTAAAAAGAATCAAACGCTTCACAAATTAAGGTTTTAAAGAAAATGGGGAACATAAGCACAGTAAACCTCATTTATACAAAGATTGTATAACTTCAATGTAACAACGTCCTGTTGATTTGTCCAAAAAGAAATCTGATGTTATTTGATGCGGTATCCTCCACTGTCTGAGACTAGATTAGTGCCCACTTCTTACATTCATTTCTTACTTCATAGTTTATATGACCCAATATGTATATATGCTCATTTTAATTGTTTAGTCATTTCTAAATGTCATAGTTTTTCATTATTAAATTGTATTATTATTTTTATCTTTCATTTTATTTTATTAATCTGTGTGAATCTGTGCTGTCCTATTTTCCACCCTTACCCTGTTGCTGTTTGAACTACTGAATTTCCCCACAGGGATTCATAAAGGTCCATCTTATCTTATCACTCCTTTCTTTTGTTTTACAGTTTTTAACATAGTTTAAGTTACAACAAATCCCAGAGAGGTTATTCAAGGTTGTAACTGGGCCCAGCCAAGTGATACGGCTCCTTTCTGGCAGCTCTGTATGGAGCTAATTTCCTGCCATAACTCCACAAACAAACTAAACAGGTTTTACAAATGCCTCATGGTTCACTAACAAACACAATGTGGTTTGCAAATACAAAACACCATCTACAAACTAATGCATTTAGTTTTGCAAAGAAAAAACGTATCTATCAAACAAACACATAACATTTTTCTAATAAATCATGCTTCAGAGACAAATTCAGCATAGGTTTTACAAGTACACAACTTTTTTTTACAACTACAACACTTTTTTTTACAAGTACAAAACTTGTTTTTACAACTACAAAACGTTTTCTTCTCACGGCGGAATATTACTGCCAAAAGTCACGTGACTTTTATAATATAAATATTGCGCCGTGACTGGCACATGGTCCACGGCAGCAGGGGGCGCTACTGAGTCCATTGGGGAAGGCGGGAGCCTCCCGCCGGGAGGTTGAGCAGAGCATGGAACAGCCCTTGCCAGCCTGATGACAGCGGTGTTTCTAGTAGCGATCCAGCGATCTGGGTCAGTGTTTGAACGGTTTGAACAAGGTGAATTTAGCGATCACAACGAAAACAGCCAAGACACATATTGAGCCCAGAAAATGAATGTTATTAAGGCTGTACATATAATAAGCCTTTGTCTAAAATGGAGGAGATTTAAACCACACAGCGATTCTGCACTCTTCATTTTTCAAAATGGTCTTTTTATCATTCATCAAGCAGAAAACATGCATTATAGCCTACGGAGGGGACTCTGACAGAGGATTACTCACAAAGTACACAGTAAAGTACTTCCTTTTATTTCTGGTAGCAGTAAACTAGTACCGAGTGCAACAGTATCAGTTTTATTCAGAACGTATGGTAAAACACATTTGTATCACTCATTGAATATAGCAGGAAAGAACATGAAGAGTGCAGAATCGCTGTGTGGTTTAAATCTCCTTAGTTACAATATTGTCCATTTTAGACAAAGGCTTATTATATGTACAGCCTTAATAACATTCATTTTCTGGGCTCAATATTTGTCTTGGCTGTTTTCGTTGTGATCGCTAAATTCACCTTGTTCAAACACTGACCCAGATCGCTGGATCGCTACTAGAAACACCGCTGTCATCAGGCTGGCAAGGGCTGTTCCATGCTCTGCTCAACCTCCCGGCGGGAGGCTCCCGCCTTCCCCAATGGACTCAGTAGCGCCCCCTGCTGCCGTGGAGTATGTGCCAAAGTCACGTGACTTTTGGCAGTAATATTCCGCCGTGAGAAGAAAACGTTTTGTAGTTATAAAACCTATGCTGAATTTGTCTCTGAAGCATGATTTATTAGAAAAATGTTATGTGTTTGTTTGATAGATACGTTTTTTCTTTGCAAAACTAAATGCATTAGTTTGTAGATGGTGTTTTGTATTTGCAAACCACATTGTGTTAGTGAACCATGAGGCATTTGTAAAACCTGTTTAGTTTGTTTGTGGAGTTATGGCAGGAAATTAGCTCCATAGTTCTGCTACTTAAAGACACATCTGCAATAAAAGATCATACGCAGCTGCAGGCCTGGAGTACCACTGCCAGCACCTCTTTGTTTATTGACTGAAATATTTCACTACAATGTGTCATTGCTAGGGGGGACAGACAATCAAACCTGGACAAACAATAATTTGACAGCAGGAAAAGTCATTCTTAAGCAAAGTATTGTAATACTTGCAAGTTTTCTATGACAAAGGAAGGTTATTGTATAAGTAGGATTGTTGAAATACTGATGGAATGGGCCAGCAGCTATGAGAGGACTGATCTCATGGAGCTTGTCATTCATTACCCTATGAAAGTTAAGTCTTCATAAAACTTTATGATAACATATAAAGACATTTTGAGAGAGGTATTGTCTTGTGATAGAGCATAGTAAAATCCTATCCAACAACTCATGGTCTTTTATTTACAACTTTGTCTTGCAATATTAATCGGAGAACACTATGCAATCAAATCAAGTCAATTGCAACAAGCAATGTAATACAACTTGAAAACAGTTTGCAGCATGGAAGTGTAAAATCATGTTTCCACAATATGGTCTCTCTCTATTGCTTTCTCCGCTCCTACTCTTCAGAGCCAAGACAAAAGCTGGACTTTGCCAAGAGTGGATTTCCTTTTATTCTTTAAAGAAGTTGGGAAGGCAGAACTAATGCTTTGTCCTCAACTCAGATCAGCTGACAAGATAACTAGGCCATGTGCACCCAGAATACCAAAAACAGATACATGTGAAAAGCCCCCTGGCACACACACAACGCTAGTGTTATAAGACCTCAAATGTCCTCTATGTATAGAAGTTTAGCAATTTGTAGTATTGTTTATGAAATTTGTATGTATACAAACATCTTGGTGACTAATGGGCTGACTCTCCCTTTAGAGGTAAACAATATAATCTGTCCTTGGTAAAGGCTCACTGATCAGAGCACCTTCCAGCTCAGAACTCAAGTTCTACCTTTCACACAGACTCAATGTGGTTTGGGCAACATTACTGAAGTAGCTGATTAAAGAATGAACATAAGGCTGCACTTGTGTCACGGCCTAATAATATCCTCTTGTGTACAGCTGAATCCCTCTCATCTAGTATTACAGTGCATAAAAAGCCTTCTGTGTCAGAGTTCTGCAAAGTGTCCAATAAGGCTGCACATTTCAAAAAGAGCAGACCTTCCCCAGTAGCCAATGGCACTATTAATGATTATTGTAGACCAAAATACACAAACCATATAGATGACCTTTCTTTAGCTGGTGAGAGATGCATATCTATTTTCCAGGTGGATATTTTCTCAGCTTGTGGCAGGTAAAGACTTGTATAAATAAAAACGCAACTAGGCAGCTTTTCCAAAACCAAACTTAAATGAAGGATGCACTTTGTGTGCGTCAGGGCCTTGTGCTGCATACTGCCATAACGGAGCTGATTCCTACTGTTGGCGTAGGTAACGCACCTTTATTCTTTAAATGGTGTTAAGTTTCTGTCAGTACCTTTTAACATATAATCTCGGGACCCCCTTGACAACGACATGGTGAATCTCAAGGGGTTTATCATAATAAATACATTTCAAATTATAAACCATCAAGATGAACACTTTACTCATTTAGCAATACCAATCTATGGAGACCTGTCAGGCCCGGTTCTACGGGGGTGCATAAGGGTGCATTGCACCCTCAGTTGAGTCGTTATGCACCCTCATTTGAAAAATGAAAAGTAAAAAAATGAAAAGTGAAAAATATTAAATATATAATAATAGTAATAATAATAATAATAATAATAATAATAATAAGAAGAAGAAGATAGTTGACATCAAATAAATTGTAATTGTGGTTAAATAACTTTGTCTGCTGCATTTATTTGGTCAATTTAAACGGTAAGTAACGTTATTATGTCAGGTGCGCGTGACCTGTGCCGCTGCGCGTTCATCATCTGCAAGGTACTTACACAGCAGTCAATGATGGACATCAGAAAATTGTTAAAACAACCAGCCCTAATCGCCAGCAGTAAAGGTAAATATCATACAATTGGTATCAGTAAAATGTATAATCTACAATAAAATCTCGTTTAAAATTGTGTTACGATGTCTAAAGTTACTGATAAATTACATGTTTCCTGCTTGGCCTTGCCCGTGGCATTAGTTTATCATTACCGGGCGGAGCCCCCGAGCCAAACAGCAGCAACCAGCACGTTGCAAAAGTCTCAATAGTAAACTGTGCCGCCAAAACATAACTTCAGCCAATCAGCGCCGTCAACTATTTTGGTCATGAGGGCGCTCACGTTGCTTACGTGCGTTGACGTGAGTTGTTTTTTAGACTCGTGAGTGACCAAGGTGACGCAGTAGTTGGATGAGAATGGCTTTGTGTGCAGGTGGAGTCGCCGGACCTCGGTCCGCACCCAATTCCGTGCAAGAGCTACTCTCCAATCCTTTCGAAAGGAGAAGTTTGGGAGATAAATCGATACTTAAAGACCTTGGACCGGACCAACCCGATTTGTATATATCGCAGCAAGCTCGTGAAAAAGACAAAACGTATCAACGAGGCTTCTCACGTAGCTGGTACACCAGAAAGGCATGGCTAGCTGGATGCAAACAGGTAAATGCTGTCTTTTGTTTCCCATGCTTGCTCTTCAAACAGCCGGGGACAGATACGATCTGTTCAGAAACTAGACAAAAGTTAAACAAATACAAACCACAGACTGTCTGTGTCATGGAGAATACAGTCGCTGGTTTATTTATGTCTGTATAGGCCGTTGTTGTGAGTGTGGACGGTCGGAGCATATAACGTTAGCTTAGCCAAGCTCCATTTAGAAAACACGCATTTTAAAAGGGTTTTTTGCCTGCAGACTTGTCAAAGCATTAATTTATGGTTTTTACTAACCGGTATCAGTATGTTGTTAATTCGGCATCATTTTGAAACGTGTATTACAATTAAATCACGGTAAAATATGTTCATCTTGTTGTAGTTGTAGCCCCCTTGCCAGCGATTCTCTCTCTAGTTTAGCATGCTCAGCCCGACTCAGCCTGGTTGTTCCTGGCCCTAGAACCACGATTTTATGGGGCCAGAAAAACTGTGAATTAGGACCCGCTAGCCGGTACTAGGCCAAGTGGAAACGCAACCAAAAACGGGCCCTGCACGGCTCGGCACTGTCTGTGTCATGGCGAATACAGTCGCTGGTTTATTTATGTCTGTAGGCCGTTGTTATGAGTGTGGAGTGAGCATATACAACGTTAGCTTAGCCTGGTCGACCCAATCTCCATTCAGAAAACAAGCATTCTAAAAGGTTTTTCGCCTGCCGTCTGTCTGCAGACTTGTCAAAGCATTAATTCATGGTTTTTACTAACCGGTATCAGTATGTTGTTACGTCGGCATCATTTAGAAACGTGTATTACAATTTAATCACGGTAAAATATGTTCATTTTGTTGTAGTTGTAGCTCCCGAGCCAGCGCGTCTTGTTTGAATGATGCGAGTAAACACAGCTGGCAGCCGCGGTGAAACTCGAGCGACTGGAGCGATGCGATAGGAGCGTTTAGAGCGAAGCGAATATTCGCATCGCGTCCGGTCTGAACGCAGCATTAAAGCGAGCTCTGCGCTGCACTGGAAACGCGCCATTACATCACCAGAAGTCCTAATTTAAGGGGTCATTTTTTTACTCACTATATCAACAGCCCCACCAAAAATATTTTCCACCAGCCGCCACTGCGCAGCGGTCTTCGTTGCCCCAAACACCGCCACCCCTCGGCGGCCCGCAAGTGCCAGAGGACCTCGGCAAAACAGAGCTTGCCCAGGTATATTTAAAAAAGTACCCAACTCACCTGTACAGTGGGGTAAGGCGCTCATTTTGCTGCTCATGGTTTCGAAACAGAGATTGGCTGGAATATTCATGTAAAAAAGATGCCATCTTCTGCTATGCATGTAGACATTTCGGTTCAAGTAAGTCAGATGCCTTCACCACAACTGGCGCCATGCTCTTGTACGTGACAAGGGACTGAGAAGGCATGAATCAAGCAAAGAGCACATAGATCCATAGATCTCTTCATTTTGCTCTCAAAGTGCACCAGATTGATGCTTTTAACTTCAATATTTAAAAAAAAAAAATCTTCCCGGGGGAGCATGCCCCGGACCCCCCTAGAGGAGGTGAGGACCCCCCTAGAGGGTGTTAGGTCCACTCCCCACTTATAAAAATAGCACTTTACCACTGCACCCTCTCTAATCTCAGATGCACCCTGAGTCATTTTGTTCTGGAACCGGGCCTGAGACCTGTGCTAACAAGTTAATAGAAAATAACAAGAGATGCAATACAAGTTCTCAAGAAATGTTTCTTAATCCATGTTAGTGGAATTTTGTGTTGGGGAGAGAGCAGAGTTCCAAAGAAAATAAACCATAGGTGTGTATCTTTATGAATTATAAAAAGTTTTAAACGGCGAAAAAAGTAACAGAACAGACTATCAATTAGTTCGGCAATGAGAGTTTACATCTGCAAAGGAAATTAAGCAAAATGTATGCTTTTGCAGACTGAAGTCAGGGGAAAAGCATTATGTTTGGATAATCTCTTTCATATTTAAGTAGCTAGGATCAGATTTTGGTCACTGTCTAAAGTTTCAATGTTGTTATGTAAACAGTTCAGACGAAGCCACGTTTATTGTGTTGCAGCACATCGGGATTTAATTACAAAAAAGGACTGCAACGTGACAACTGACAAGACAAAGACTGTTGCCTAGTCTGCAAGAGAGACTTCAACATTATGCTAAACAACGTCTAGGATCAGTGAAAGGCTCAGTGGCCAGTGTCTTAATGATGTAGCTTATCCTGTCTGGCACTGAACTGGTATTAAACACTTTATTTATGGGATTTAACCTTACATAAAGATTAGCTCCCTCTTTGTTTTTGCAATTTGTATTACTTTAAAAGTTAAAGATTTTTTTTCCTAGGTTTATCGTTATGGAGATATCTCGTAAAAATATTCTGCTCTGAACCCAGTTATGTCAGAATATATTCCTACATCTCTAGCTCAGGATAGTGGATTATAAGGAAGGCAGTAACAAGACAGAATAAAGGGCATTCAGGTCAGAAGCTTTTTTTCTAGCACCAGAAGGGCTAACTGAAAGTATGGTGTAACCCACTGAGAGCAACGACACACATCACACACAATATACCCTGAAGGCTGAAGGAGTGACAGACTGAAAACACCTTTTCCTTGTGACTGCAAATAAATGATAACTTATCATAAGCAAACTTCTTGGCATCTCTCCAGGTCAACCTGTCAAACCTCTACCTGTTTGAGGATACGGCAACAAGGTCACAATACCGCTACAATGCGAATTTAAAAGCACTCTGCAAGGAGACAGAACAACAGACTCCTTTTTGAGGCCAATCGAGACTCCACGTTCAATAGGTGAAGAGCTGAACACGACGGGGGAGTCCCACTTTCCGACCTTGTGAACTTTTATTACTACAAAATATAACTTGGACTTTCTCAAAAACTGGTTAAAGAGTTGACCCCTTTTATATTATTTACGATTTGAAAGCAACAAGAATCAGACTTCTGTATTAACTCACAGCTTGAACTGAAACAGAAATGATGCATTACTTCATAAATGACACTTCACACTTTTCTGGATTCAAATGTGAATCCAAACAAATGCGAATTAGCAACATCTTCTTTATCAACCCATTCACTCCAGAAACAGGTTGGGATTTTGAAATGGTTGTGATGATGTCAAATTATACTCACAATCAAGCACCACCATGGAACGCACTGCATGGTTTAAGCACATGTTTACGCAGGCACCTGTGCGTGCAAAGTATGCATGCACTGTACCCACATTCTTCCTTCCTGTACACGCACTTACCCTGCATTGTTGCTGACTGCAGTGAGACCGTTAGCTCCGGTCTTCAGTAAACTGTTGATCAGATTCTCTGGGATACCACACAATCCAAAGCCTGAGTGAAACACATGAAAAGAAGGTTATACAAAGTAAACCAATACAAATTAAATAAATGCAAGCAACCAATAAATCATTCGAAAAAAGTGTTAAGAGATAAACATGGTATGGTGGCACTTAAAGAGTAGATCAGGGACATGGCATATTTGGAAAAGAAAAAACAATGACTTCTACAGCTATTACAAACCACTCAGAAAATACCTCAAGTGAAATAACATTGTTCACCTTGGATCAAGCCCCAGGTAATTCTAGTCATGTGTGTATAGGGTGTTACTAATATTATACTGAGTGAGTCAGACTTCTGCTTGTGCTTTTGACACAATGGAAAAGTGTCACCTCAAAACTTGACTATAAATAAGAGCAGTGGAATTTGTGTGTGCTCTGCCTGGCAGTGTGGTTGATACCATCCACACACAGAGTAAAGGCAGAGGCTATTTGCTAGCACTGTCACTAAGGTGTGTGTCCTACAATATGAAAAAATCTGTTTGTGAAAGTATTGTTTATCTTTACCTCCGACAAGAATAGTAGCTCCATTTGGGATATCTTTGACTGCCTCTGAAGAATCTTTGTAGAACTTTGACCTTCTTTGGCTAGAAGTAGAGAAGTAACAACCACAGGTCTGTAGAAAAAGAAGAAGAAGAGATGCTAATACTTTACAATACGCTTTGAACTTTTTTTCAAGAACCAGCAACAGACACTAAAAATTAGTATAATCATAAGCTTTATATTCTGTATACAAGTTTACTGCTGAGAAGAAAGCTTGTTGAAATAAAACTGAGCAAAGCCTGAGGGCAGCTCATATGATTGTATTATAGCTAATCCAGTTTATTCAGTTGAGGAAGGGAAAGATATGCAAAACTGGGAATAAATCCTACAACAAAAGGAGTTGAGCTTTAGGGTAGCTCACAGCAACGAATCCCAACGGGACAGATACTGTAGTTTAGGACTCAAACTTGAAATTGTTTATGTCAACACTGACCTATACAATGTTGACCTATGGTACAAACAAAGACCAATTTTATAATGAAGAAATATCATATATTGTTGTGTTTCACCAGAAGGTGGCTACAATAAATAAAAACCATGATTTGCTTTTCAATACAGATTATAATACACTATAATGACTTTGGTGTTATGGTAAATATTTGTAATTTCTGTCTAACCTTTGAATACTGAACTGATGAGAACACTTTCCGTCAGACTCCACCCTGCTTGTTATATTCTTAGTCACTTCCTCATTTATAAATTCCCTTCATCTATAAACAAAATTAACATATAAACAATGTTGTACAAACTGTTAACTTTAAACAAGTATTTATCTAGTTTAATTTATGTTCTGTATGAATTCAAGAATAAAAGGCATTGATCAATTTATAGAGCCAGTTATTGCCCCCCCAGATTGTTTAAAAATGGTATGGAGATTCATGTTTCGATATCAACTAAGTAACACTCTTGATCATTTTCTAAATGTGCTCTCAGTCTCCACATGAGTTCTAACTTCAGACATATGTGGATTTCTGAAACCATACTATTTATAGACATGGTGACTACCTTCTACAATGTACAGACTATAGGCTTTGACATAAAATAAACATGATGGAAACATTGTAATGAGTTTGTGTAAATGCATCCGGGCAGGGGGGGTCGTTTGTGCAAGCACGTGTGATTATTCCACCTACAACACACACACGCACATTGGTATTAGGCTGCTTTATTATATATGTTGCATGTAAAGCTGCGGGTTTGATTTATCTTTATAATGTGTTTAAATCACTGACCCAAAACAAATGCAAATTGTGCATCGCTGGATTATAATTCTGTTTGTAACGTTACAAACAGAATTATAATCCAGCGATGCTGTTAACGAAAATCCCCGCAATTACGCAGTTTGAGGTTAGTTCACGATCTATTCAAAGAGTAAATAAACAAAACAAATAAACAAAATTAACATTAATATATACGGACAGGATTCGAATTACTCTATTCATTTTGATCCGAAATGTCGGACGAATAAGGAAATGAAATATTCACAATATTATGACCTTGTAATCTTGCTCAGGCATTTGCAACAATCTCGTTTGCAACAACCTCATTTGCAACAATCTCATTTTCACCTTGTTTTTTTCTACAATCAATTACCGTATTCGTTAAATACCAACCTTGCTTAATTGGAGATTAGCGACATTTAATCTGGTTCTGCACGGACCTGAGAGGTTTTTGAAGAATAAATGATCCGCTCTGCACAAAGCTTTGAGGGCCGCCATGTTTTGGAGTTACACACGGGCGATGAGTCGAGGAGTGAGAGCTCCAGCCGGTGGAAGACAGATGATGTAGCCTGAAAGGTCGCACACAGTGGCTATCAGCAGTGCTAGTTTACACCATAGGCTCACGGTGACATTAGCTGCTGCCTCAGTGATTGGGCTGGACAAGTGGGCTGGACTGGGGGGGGAGATACAGAGAGGCTTGGCAAACTAATTTACATGTAACCCTTTCACCACCACTACTATTAATAGGACGGCAAGATTATATCACTTTCCTGTTATTTCAACACGCATCAAGTAATAAATGTAATAATGGCGATGATTACGCGGTACGCATTGTTGTTAACGGTTACCCAGGCGCGCGCACAAGCAGAAACACTAATGTATTGGAAACAGACGAGACCGTCTATGAGCACGTGAGTAATCCCTTGCTCACGTGACGCACACTCTTTAGTCATGGCCGACGACTACAGGCGACAAGGTTTCGAGTTGGAGAGAAGGATATTTGAGTTAGACATCAAGTGTTCCAGTCTCAGAGCTGAAAAGCAAGGTATCGATGAGACGTTTGTGTTTATTTTCTGTATTGTGGCCAGTCTTGGCACATCGTGTGCGTGGCTAAAATTCTTGATAAGTGTATCAGCCAACTAGCAAGCTAGCTAACGTTACCTAGCATAGCCTGTAACGATAACAACAGCTGTTTTCTGATGACATGTTTCATATTGTGAAATAATACACACCATGCCGTTAACTAACAGGTGGTAACGTGTTATTTTAGTTACCTTTGAGTAAAGTGTAATATATGACGATGGTTGAATTTGAATACCTGCGTGTTCGATGTAACGGTTAGCGTAAATTGGCTAACGTTAGCTAAAATGCGTTATTGTTGACAAACGTTTAGCTGGACAAAAACACGCTGCTGCGTTATAGCTAAATAACTTCAGCTGATACTTGACTTTCAAAGCATTGGTGTTATTATTTTTATGTTGAAATGTACCGTTTTATATTGGCAATCATTACATTTAAACCGTGTCAAACTCTTGAATGCTGTCGCATAGGCATATTCTTGTACCGTTAAAACGTGTTCCACTTCTGTCACAAACATGTGTAACCTAACCGTGCCATTTATATAAAACAATACTGAAATGTGTTAAGTTGGGGGAAACTGTGCTTGAGTTCAGATATGTAAATGGTAACATGTTGACATATCGTTCTTCCATAGATGATGACTATTTACAGAATGCGTCTGCCATACTAGACAAGTTGAAAAGCTATTACAGGCAAGGAGGGGAGAGTAGCAACCTTTCCAAGGTGCTTCAGGATTACACACAGGTACCTCATTGTATTACACTTATTTGAACGTCTAAAACTGCAATTAATGATGTTTACATTAGTGGTTAATTTTCCGGAACGTTTTTAATTGAATCATCTAGTTGGTAAGACTAGTCAGAGAACGGGGGGAAATGCCAATTAAATGTCCCTACATTCAAATCGTCATACTTTTTTATTTTTTGGACTCATGGACAGGTTTGAGCGTGCTGATTTATATAAAATGGAAAAATCATGCTGAGATTGGGATTAATCAACCAAAATTGTTGTGAGTTATTTATCCTTTTGCCCCTATACTGTAAATGTCAAACAAAGGCCGCTCATTTTGTATTATCAACGTGCATGTACTCAAACAACTGGTTCCTAAGGAATTCTCATTATTTCAGAGAAGTAAACTAACTAGATGTTAGGGATGACAGTGTTTCCCCTAGGATGGAGTAATAGCAGCGGTGCAAAGGCACAAGGGCCAAGCAAAATGTGAGTGTGGAGCGCATGGAATATTTTTGTGCTTGCAAAGTGCGCCCCGCCAATATGTTTCTTTGTGTCTGCCAGCACAAGAAAGGCTCTTGTGGCTCTACAGGTGTATTTTGCTAAATCATATACTTTTCAATGATCCAAACATCTTTAGAATATGATCACAACCAATAACAAATCATTTAAACTTGTTTATTCTTATCTTATGTTACCTAGTTAGCATTCTTTCTTTTTCTTTATGCATATTTTACTAATCACTCCCCTTTTAAACTTTTTACTGTCCTATACACATTGGAATGATTTCTTACTTTATTTTTTACAACTATATAAAATAGATAAAGGTGTGCTGTCTCGCTGGCTCACAGGCTGTGTGCTCCTCCGTGGCGATGACGCGAGCACCACATATTATTATTTTAATGTATAAAAAAAATCAGCAGCAGTGAATGTATATAGGGGAAACACTGGATGATACTCAGAGCACACATTTGCTTTTGAAAAGTGGCTTTAAAAGAGTTTTGGGGATTGTACGCGGTGCCTACCACTCCCTGGTTAGTATTATATGTTTTATCCCTAATTTGACCTCGATATTTAGGAAGAACTCAGTAATGACATTAAGTGAGAGGAGTGAGCTAATTATATCGGATTATTTTTACAGATTTTTGTTATCTTTAAAATGTTCCATGTTTTCTTACACGTTGTGTTCAATGTCTGGTGTGGATTTGTTTGTTTTTCCTCTTTAAGGTGATCCTTGACATCACATTTTATGAAGAGAATAAGCTGGTTGACCAGGAGTTCCCTGAGGACTGTTCACCATTTAAAATCCAGCAGCTGCTGCAAGACCTGACTGAGCCAGAGGTTTTGGCGGGGAGGCTAGCACCAGCGCAAGAAGTGTGTATATATATATATATATATATATGTCTCAAAAGGATTTTGTATGCATGTTCTCTACATGTTTTGTATTCCCAGTAAGAAATATTTTAAGAGATGTATTAGTTGGACTGTAATGTTGTCTTAGGTTTATAGTTTTGCAAATTACACTTTCCCAGATTGACTTGCATGACATTGTCTAACACTACTATTGATGTTTTTTTGGTTTATAGGTGCAGTCTGTGTTGGGCCTAGAGCTGTTAGAATGCCTCTATTGGAGACGTGGAGCTCTGCTGTACATGTACTGCCACACCCTTCATCAACGAAAACAGTGGATTAAGAAAAACAAGGACACGTTCCTTAAGGTACCAAAGTGTGAAAAATCTAATGGCGCGTTTCCACTGCAGCGGGTAGCTCGCTTTAAGCGTGCAGAGCCGTGCGGGGCCCGTTTTTGGTTGCGTTTCCACTTGGCCTAGTACCGGCTAGCGGGTCCTAATTCACAGTTTTTCTGGCCCCATAAAATCGTGGTTCTAGGGCCAGGAACAACCAGGGTGAGCCGGGCTGAGTATGCTAAACTAGAGAGAGAATCGCTGGCAAGGGGGCTACAACTACAACAAGATGAACATATTTGACCGTGATTTAATTGTAATACACGTTTCAAAATGATGCCGAAGTAACAACATACTGATACCGGTTAGTAAACACCATGAATTAATGCTTTGACAAGTCTGCAGACAGACGGCAGGCGAAAAACCTTTTAAAATGCGTGTTTTCTAAATGGAGATTGGCTAAGCTAACGTTATATATGCTCCGACCGTCCACACTCACAACAACGGCCTATACAGACATAAATAAACCAGCGACTGTATTCGCCATGACACAGGCAGTCTGTGGTTTGTACTTGTTTAACTTTTGTCTAGTTTCTGAACAGATATGAAGAGCTGTGAGCTCTGAGTGCTAAGAGCTAACGGCTGTGTTGTTTTTTGGGGCGCTCATTGAAGATGACGTCACGGCTCCGCCTACACTGCGTTACTATAGTAACTACCCCAGTTCCTAAACTAATGGAAGCGCAGCATTAAAGTGAGCCAGGCCTAATAAGGCCTAACCAAACCGAGCGAGGCCTGCAGTGGAAATGCGCCATAAGTACATTCACTAAATGCATTTCTGGACAGGATGTGGGCTTCACTGAATCTTCGTTGCAAATCAAGTGGTGGTTTTGTTGAAAAAAGATATTTCAGGTTTCTTGTTGGTAGAGATTATTCACATGACTCTCATATTTGAATCCAGTGTATTCAGGAAGGGGTGCGCTACTTAATGCGGATGCTGCAGGTGAGGAACTCTGTAAAGCTCAACGATGGGGTGGTGCTCCATGATACTGCTACGGCAAACTTCCTATCTGAAGGTAAATATGTCATCACTTATTTTTGTGTTCCATTGTAGGATAATTATTGAGAATATTCTTGAATTGTATGATTTTGTTGTTTCCACAGGCATCTTCTCGGACACACACCTGCTGACAATGATGTACATCGGGGAAATGTGTTTCTGGGCAGTGAAGTATGAGGACTGCAGCGCTGAAACTATGGATCGCAAAGATGATCGCCTCCAGTTTCGGGACATTGGCACACAGATCCTCAACAAATACGTGCTTGCCTGTGAGGGCCCGCTGCAGGGCCAGGGCTGGAACACTGAGAATGCCAAGGAAATCCTTAGTATTTTACAGTGAGCCAAGCTGCTCTTATATTGAAGTTGCCCTCAGGCACAGATCTTAGTTCAGTATTCAAATGTGTCAACCCCAAATAAAAATGGAAGCCATCAGGTGGGGTGTAATGTTGTGGAAGGTGAAGAGGAAGCATGGGGAGAAAGTGTATGAGAAGAAAGTCTTTGGATCAGTGTCTTCAGGCAACCTCATCCCATGCCAAACGGCCCAGGCCAAAGCAGGTCAGACAGGATAGGATAGGTGGTGTAAAACTGGCAGGGGTTGCAGTCAGAGACGGAGGTTGAATAACTTTTGGCCCTGTCCTGCTGAAAAAGCAGTTATCATCTTGATTCTAGACTGTTGACTGGGGCACTTATTTTGCTCTGAGAATGTGTTATAATAACATTAATATGAATATAAAAAGGTTATTAATAAAATGTACCTTTTTTTTTCTTTCATTTGTTAAGATTGTTACAAGTTTGAAGATAATCCAGCTGGAAATGAGACATTGCACAGTAACATTTTATTTATTGTTTTGTTGCCATTTTGGTATGCTTTTAATATATTATAATTGCATATACAATATATATTTTGTGTATTAAAATATACACACTAAGGCAAGAAAAGGTGTTCAAAAACTGTTTGACAATGATGTATTCATGACTATTTGAAGTATGCTCATATTTGTTCATACCAGCTTTATAATGCGCCACTTGTATTCCCATCAATTGCAAGTAAACATTTTCTGCCACTTCAATAACCTTGATAGTATAACTTAATAGAAAATCTGTGTTTGGACAAAAATCATTTTTCTGTTTTTTATGTCCTCGGTGACAATAAACACGCGCGTTGTTTTAAAAAAGAAAACGCCTTTATTTTCCATTGCAACTTTTTCAGATCCATATTTAGCAGCACGTTTAGAAATACATTACCCACAATGCCCCGCTGCCGCCAGCAACAAGGAAGTGTCCAAATCAACCTGTCCTTAGTCCATATTAAAGTGTGGGGAGCTACACGCTTACTGTCACTAACATCTGGAGTCATGGCAGGTAATATCCAGCAGCTCAACGAGTCGGTAGTGATTCGCAGTCTCAGGCGCTTCAGAGACACATATTTGACAAACAGAGCTAAAGTTGTTAAAGACGAACTAGCGCCTGTCGTTGAAACGAAAGCAGAGCCACAACCCGGATTTCTGGACAGTTCACCGGTGAGTCCAAACGTTCATGGACACGTCTTTTAACTGTCCCACCCACCATTGCGGTAACAGTGATTTTGTTATGCCTGTGTATATTCAGTTGGAGTAAAGAAAGGGGCAATTCCAGTTTGAAATTTGCGAAGAGAAACCCTTCTTTTTTTTAAAGCAATCAAGGCTATGTTATTTAGGAACACATTTTGAACTTTGCCCAAGTAGCATCATTCAACTTCCTACTGTCTGCACTGCTTTTCATAAGGGCAAGTTATGAGCAGTGTTCACCTGCAGATTCTGATTTTACTGATTTTATGGAACTATATAATATATTTTATAATAACTGGCAGGGCTCATGATTACTTTTTACTTTTGATGGAATCCTTTCCCATAATATGTGGTTGAAATTCAGTTTTTCTTTATATTAGGATTAAACAGCCATGTGTAGCCTTTTGTGTTATTGTATTTAAGCAAGAATTCCTGGTAAATCTATTTTCTAAAAGACAGATTTATCTATAAAATGTATGTTGTCTTATCAAGACATGACGTGCATGTAAAACACTTAACACAATAAACCTCTGAATGACAATTGCTTGTTTTAATTCATTTTATTACAGACATTTCTACAACATGATGCCTATATTATTTTTGCTACGGTAACATTTTAGATGCCAGGCTTCTCATATTCATTTGTGTATTTTCAATAATAATAGATTTGCTGCTAAATACTGGTGTTAGGGATCGACCCCCATTGTGTCCCTGTCATCTTGTCTTGTACTGTTGAAATCCTCATCACATCAATCCTACCCTCCCTCCTTATTAAGGTGGATGTTCAGTTCCTGATTATGACCTTTATGTGTCCTGCGGATATCTGCTGTCTGGGAGCCACCAGTCGGTACTGGAGGGCCATGGTTAAAGATCCATTACTGTGGAGGTACTTCCTGCTCAGGGACATGCCACACTGGCCCTCCATTGATCATGTGAGCATGCCCCAACTGGAGTTTTTGGATGCACCCCTCATCAATGAAGAGGAGAGCCTGGATGATAGAGAAGAGGATGGCGACAGAGGGATGGTTTCAACATTTGACTACATGTCAGAGTAAGTATATTTTTCTGTTGTTTAGTTTAATGGTCCGTTGGTAACCATTGATTTGACTGGAATGTTTTGACAAACTTCTTTTCTCTGGACAGATACCTGAAAGGCTGCCCATCCTGCAGACAACATTGGCTTCCTTCACGGCCGGCATATGAGGTCTTTACCTCCTTTATTCAGTCTTTGGTGCCCTCTTCTGAACCACGCTATGCGATGTTTGGCCCTGGCATGGAGCAGCTTGATGTGTCTTTAGTCACAAGGCTCATGAATGCCCCTGATGTGCTACCTGTGTCGGGCACTCCTCAGAGACAGATAAATGGTGAGATTACATTGATATTGACTGATTGATTGATTGGTCAGTGATTAAACAAACAAAAGTACCTCTGGAATCGGTTTCAAAGTACAACTTCCTCTTAAACCAATGGCAGCTGAGTCTGGGATCAGATTTCTGTTTCCTACAATGCTGTTGTTATACATATTATTTCATCCCAATTGTGTACATTGTTGTCAAATGTGTAACTTTTTTATTATAATTCATTTTTGTATCTTTAGTACTTTTTATGCATGCTTGCTTGCGTAACATTAAGCTGTCTTTGGCTCTTTTCTGCTGTAACAATGTAAATTCCCCCTCTGTGGGACTAATAAAGGTATTCTGATTGATTATCGTATCTAATGTAGTTCTATTTATCTACCACTAGATGGCATAATTGTCTCAACATTGTTATCCCATTAGTCACTTCTAGCTCAGATGCCAAAATAACAAAACTGATATTTTTATTTTCATTTTAGGAATTGGTTCTGGGATCAGTTACATTTTCAACAACCAACACAAATTAAATATCTTGACTCTGTACTCAACCAATAGGTAAGCACTTTGTTATTACAATGACCATGAGAGTTGCAATTCTTATCTTTATCATTATATATTTGTGAAGACAGCCACCGTCATTACACTGTGTGTGTTTGTGTGTGCAGGGCAGAGAGGGAAAGAGCCAGAGTGCAGCAGCAGACTGTCAGTAATAAACTGTTTACCTTAGAAGGAACAGATGAATCAGGATGTCCAGTCTACAGCCCTGCGCCTCAGGTCCAGCAGGTGTGCCAGGTGGTGGATGGTTTCATCTATGTAGCTAATGCAGAGCTTGGGAGAGGTTTGTCTTGAAGCTTCTTCACAATGTTTTTCTTATATATTAATCATAAGCACAGAACATTTGCATAACAAAATGTCTTTAATAGGTGGGGAAGAGTGTGAGGTGGCTCAGATTCGGGCTGTGCTTAGCTCTGCCGAAAGTTCAGCATCCAAGCCTCTGCTGGTGCTTTCCTGTGTCTCCAGAGACGACCCAGAAGAGGATAGAATAACTAACCTGCAAAAGGTCACCAGCAGAAACAGGGCCAGGTGTCGGACTCCCTGTGTTGACATGGCAAAGAGACTTGAACTACCGCAACTGGCTAACCCCTGGATGGTAATTCCCTGATAGTTGATCAACTGAAAGGCTTTCACTACGTTTATATGCATCCAGTATCAATTTGAGGAGATGTATAATCTGTGTTGGTGTTTCACTATCTCAGGTGCAGGATACAGTGGCAGAATCTCTGTCAGGTCTCCTGGATGGCATTTCCTGGTTGCTGAGATGTTCTGGAGTCAAACTCTATGGGGGTTAGTTATCTAACTACTGCTGCTGCTGATGAATGGAAACAACAAACTGTATTGCTGCAGCTTCCAGACATACTACAGATTTTCCTGAGTAAGGTATGCTACATGTGCATGAAATGTAGCGTTGCCTGTGGGACTTCAACTGCAACAGATGTGATGGGTTTCTATTTGTTATTGAACTGAGAGAAGAGAAAGAGCCTTATGAATGAGTCGTAGCAAAACCAGGGTTACACATGAGACTTGGTTAGTTGAACACTATATTCTTTAGAGCAGAAGTGAAGTACATCATTTACTTGAAGTTACGGAATAGTTGTTGTGGATGAAGGAACACTGCTAGTGCAATGCTAAATAACAGACAGACAAAGATAAACACACTCACCAGCAGAATTATAAAACCAAATGGGAAAGAAACCTACACATGTAATATAGGGAATTGTTTTTATAAAGAAATACAAATATCACAATATATTTTTCAAATACCTGGATAGTGATATTGTGGGGTTGATTAAGTAGCTGAAAAATGACAGCTTTTTACTGTAATACAGCCTTAAAAAACAGATGTTTTGCCCTTTTATGATATCCAAAATACAAAACAGAATCTAGTCTGCACCATATCATGACACAGTCCTAACTTTGGTCAGCTGCTAACTCAACAGGTGGCCAGCTGTTTGGTTTAAAATGTGATAGTGATTGTACATTTTTGACATTACATTTTTGTATGATTTATTAAAGGCTCATAATGTATTAAAGTTAAAAATATCTGCCAACAACCCTCCTGCAAAAAGCCATACACCTGAAAATATGCCTTTTTAGGGCTAAACTGGAATACAAGCAATGATATGTATGTGCTGTGTTTTAAATGATGTTGTTTATATTGCCAAATACTTTTCCAATTCATGTGTTTTCATGTTATGTGTTGCACAATTTTAAAAGGTTTCAGATTTGTATTCATGTGTCATGAGTCACACTTTCAGTCTTTGACAATATTGATAACGTTATTAAATGTCTGTAAAAAAGTTGTCTTCTTCTTTCTTTCCTGCATTCGTCTTTTAGTACTCTTGCACATGTTCACAAGTTTAATCTTGTGAGCAGTGGAAAGTATTTGTCTTTCTTCCCCTTCTTTTCCTCTCCTCTGAGGTCAGCTCTGGCATGAAGAGTTGAGTCCACATCTGTATGTCAGTAAGCAAGCAACACTATCCTGTTTTTGCCACCAGAAAGCGCTACTAGTAGCTGGTGGATTCAGTGTTTCGTAACTGGAAGCGCTGCCTTTCTAACTGCCATTAGCATTGTCTGTTTGACGAGCAAGTGAAAGGCTTTTGTGACAATAAGATATTACCTGTAAGAAGTCATCTTTAAACACAGTTGTGAAATATTCACAGCAGGAGTACGGAACGTTTATTTTGCATTCTGCAGTAGGTAATAGTAGGTAGCACAGTTGGACCTGAAAATCAATCTGCCTCTGATTGCAGCATGGAACATTCACAATAACTTCTTCTAAAAATTGAAATGGAGGTTCAAACCCACAAGCAGACATTTAAAAAGAAGAAATTCAATAACACACTCCATGTGTATTTTTGACTATGATGATTTTTTTCAAAACTGAATCCCAGTGCAATTACAGCACTTTAAATGGTCGCCACTCTCACTTAAGGTGTTGAATGTGTGTTGGTCGAATTCAAATTACCATCTATTCAGTCTCCCGGCTGGCAGCGGTGTTCACATGTTATGGCATCATGTAGGGCATGACAAGATAATGTGCCTCACTGGTGGTCTTTTGTTTTAGTCCCCTAGGTAACCACAAGTCTTTGGTAAAGGTATGTTCCCCTAAGCAGCCCTTTTTAGCAAAAGGTTTTTTTTCTCTCAACAATCATTTTCATATACATACAGATTTAGAATTGGACCATGATTGGTGCAATTTAGGTACATTAAGCTGAGCTGAATACTGGTGAAGCGGAGATTGATTCCGTTGTTTTCCCCTGGTGAAATTTAAAGGGAAATGATGGAGCAGGCAGCTGTGTGTGTGTTTCTGTGAGAGAGAGAACATCTATGTTCTCTGTAAACAGGATGTCTATCTCTTACGTCCTCATTTCACAGTTATTTAAACACATTGCATGTTTATGTTCATGTCTTGTGTGTATACATGCGCATGCTTACAAAGACTGTCCAAAAATGAAGGTACACCCAAAAAAAAATGAAAAGAAGCATATGAACCATGGGAAACTGTTTTCAGGGCAGGTATGTTGGGGATAACTGCTTAATCCTTTGTTATTACTCTGATCCTGATGGGGCTAATTTAAGTAAAGACCTTCCACTGAGCAGGCACTGGCCCTGTCAGTGTGGATGAATAACTAAGGTAGTCTCAGTCTGAATGCATGCAGAAGTGAACAAAGCTGAACCACTCTTATGTGAATGTGGGCTCAAGAAAATAATCTAAAAATGAAGTAAACGCTGTTTGCAGTCAGCATGTGTTGGATCCTTTGTTGAGACTTACTTACATAGCATATTTTTAAAGTCTGTTTATCCACAATGCAGACTGTGGACCACATTAGCACAGGGTCCTACATAATGGTGGCTTGGGTTTTGTGGGGGAGGATCCTGGGCCATGTTTTGGAGTTCTGAATGAATGAGTTCCAGACCTCCAGCTGCCTCTTGTCTTCAAAAATCAAAAGGGGCCTCTGGGATATGATGTCACGAAGAAGAAACCCCGCTTTTTACTGACCCAAAACAGAGTTTGCAACAACATGCAGACAATTAAAGCATACATACCATGCATGTACATTGTGTAAGGAGACCCCAGGATTAAGCGTGTGTATAGAAAATGGTATGTATAAAAGGAAAAAGTCAGGGACCAATACAACTGCCTTGTGTCTGTTCTTTACAACTAAGATTCAAGCTAAGTAACACAAGATCTATGTGCCTGTGTTCGTGGAACATAGTTTAATGCGGTTCAGTTTTATAGTGTTCTTTTTACAGCCTGAGGCAACAGACAAAAACACATCAGCAGTATTGCACAGACAGTCTGTTTACTTATGTAATATGAAGAATGTTTTGGCAGTGGTACTTCCCATATATTCCCGCAGGTTTCCCCCCTGCTCAATGAAGCTTAATATGTCTTGCTTTTGGACATGTATAGTATCTCTCCTTTTATGCCAGCATTGACCTGGAGTACAGCTTTAAAGCTTCAAATATTGATTTTGGAAATCATATTTACCAAGTAAAATAATATGTGGTACATGATGATCTTTTCTAAAAATGCTTTCTGTTGAGTACATTTAATTAAAACAATATCTTTGTTGCAACTACATAAATAATATTGGTGGTGGTGGTTGTAGGGCTCAAAGCAACACCTGTACAGTATACATCTAGAAGTCTGCACTGGCTGCAGTGTGTGGTGGTGTGGAATTGTGTATTGATCAAGCATCAATACAGTATTTTACAACTGCTTACACACGTTTTTGAATACATGGCTCATTTTCTCAAAACGCTTAACACAATTCACAAAACCACACACCCAAAGTGCAAAACATATTCTGCAGAATGAAGCACTGCACAACTACATAAACACTTATCAAAACCCAACTTTTGCACCAGATGGCACACACTTTATTTTTAGTACAAGACACTTTGTCCAACTAATTACACACTGTGATGCTCAATCAAAAGCACACTCACCTTTGTGGGCTTTCTTCTGTATGTCAATAATTCTACACTTAAGAAATATGTGCAAAAACACAAATATTCTGTTGAAATAAAACCAATATGTTCCAATTAACTCTTCAATTGACTTCAATTCATCCTCCCTCTCACTCGTATCCTCCTTCTTCCTCTTGCTGCTTTGTCCATTGATCAATTTTTGTTGTAAAAAGTTCTTACATGGAGCCTTTATCTAGTGTTTACATCCTATTTGATGAATCAACAATAAAGCAGTATGTTTGGCCAGTTAGCATGTATTTGTAAATTGGTTCATGAGTGTAGCATTTTTAAAGCAGTGTTTTGAAAAAGTGACTGTCAGATGTATGTGTCTTGCTTAGCGAACCGTGTGCAGTATCTTACAAAAAGTGCCAAGTTGAATTGAAAATTGGGTGAAGAGCTGAAAATGTGTTTAGAGTTTTGAAGACTTGAGCTCAGGTCTTGGTCTTTGAGTCAGTTTAATTAATGGTGCTTTATGTGTCGTTTTAGTGTGTTAGCAACTGAAAAAAACTGTAATGCTTTGATAATAATTGAGGAAGTATATAAAACAATATGAATAAACCTACACATTGAGAGTTGAGTACAAACTGACTGCTATACTTTTAATACAAATGTGTGGCTGTCTCTATATTTGTTAAACTTTGAAGAATGATCTTTGCTCTAAACCCTCACCACAGGGTGTAATACAGTTTTAACAGCAAGCAACTCTGGCTTTGTTTCTGGTCTTAGACTTCTGCTTTTTACATCACCCCTAAATCTTCCGCTATCCTTCTTCTTCACTCTTGTCTCATCCCACTCTTTTCACTCTCTCCTCCTTTCATTAGGGTTAAGTCCCTGATTTGTATTCTATGATAACAGCCAAGATTAAAGTAGGCATTGAAAAAAAAACATCATTTGCATGATGCATTCACTGATTAGGCTAAGCGGTCTTCTTAATTGTGTTGTTTTGCACATGGTGGGGCTCTCATGCTGATACTCTGTGGATCTCACTCATCCCATGCAATCTCAACAAATCACTTCATTTCCTCCTCTCTTCACTGCGTTCGTCCCACCTATCTCCTGCTGCCATATATACAGCAGGTTAGGGACTCGTAATACAGGATGAGGGTTCAGAAGTGTTAATAGTGATGTTTTAATTTATTATTTGTGAATCCCTTTGAGTCTATCAGCAGCTCTGTAATAAAAATATGTTGATGAAGAACACATTGATCTGTCCTTATATCTGCAGCTGCTGTGTTTTTGTTTCTTGTGTTTTTGTTTCTTGTGTGTGTGTGTGTGTGTGTGTGTGTGTATGTGTGTGTGTGTGTGTGTGTGTGTGTGTATGTGTGTGTGTGTGTGTGTGTGTGTGTGTGTGTGTGTGTGTGTCCTGTAGCTATATCTCCTGTCTTTTATCCTAATCCAATAAGCAGTAGGCTGCTGACATAGTTGGGAACGGCCACACTTGTGAGGTGAAACGGCACTAAATGCATTACAGGTGACTTGAACGGGATGACACAAAGGGCACTCTTCCATTAGGTGGAAAATAAAAACAGTCAGCCATACAGGAAGACATCCTACACGGCTATTGAAAGGCATGTCATTACAGAAAAACAATTACGGGAATGTTATGATTTATGCTGCCTGAAGCAATAATGCTCAGTTTGGCAGCACAGTGTCTGAAGACCAAGCAATCTTGTGAAACAGACATGTCAACAATGTCAGTTTGTAGTCAATGCCAAATATTCATATTAAAATAAATAAGTTCTCTGAAAAAACTAAAACAAAGTGTGGTGATATTGTTCTTACCAGGATTGATCTTACCAACAAATATTGCCTGTCTAACAAAAGCTATTCATTTGAACTATAGACCTCTCTTGTAATCCTAAACCTTTTAGTTGGACTAATGTTTGTTTAAAGCTGTTTTAGGAAATGATTTACCTTTGAAACCATGGGCTAAGGGCAACACAGGCTGGGGAAGTTGGATAGTATTTATGGAGAGATTAATTAATTGACGGTTCTTCAAAATATAAATAATTTGTACGAGCTTTATCCTTTTATATAAATCCCCTAAATTGGATTACTGATGATAAATCATCTTTATCCTTCAAAATGAAACCACACAACTTGTCATAGACGAGCTCTTTGCAAGACAAAGATTGTGATTTGAATGTTTTATAAATTAGTCATCTCAAGCCTTAAAACCAAAAAGCACTTTGATAGCTGGTGAGCAAAATGGGATTCCAGCCCTCCAGTGCATTCACAGTGCCATCAGTCTGTGGGCCAGATGCATTGTTCTGTTGTCACATTCAATACAGCAAAAGTCCACATGATCACTCAGAGCAGACAATC